TTTTGGCCTCACCACCCCCCCGGCGACCTTTCAAGTGGCAATGACCAACGAGTTCTGTGCAATGTTGGACCGGTTCGTGCTGGTCTACTTAGACGATATTCTCGTTTATAGCCGGTCATTGGAGGACCATTTTGGGCATCTTCGACGAGTGTTGGAGACGCTCCGCCGCGCCAAGTAGAAGGCCAACCGCGACAAGTGCGAATTTGTCCGGCAAGAGCTGGAATACTTGGGCCATTTTGTCACACCGGAGGGCATCAGTCTGCTATCGGACAAGATTCAAGCCATCCAAGAGTGGCCGGAGCCTCGGAACGTCACGGATGTTCGTTCGTTCCTTGGCCTCGCCGGCTACTACCAGCGTTTTATCAAAGGCTACTCGAAGATCGCGGCCCACTTGACCAAGCTTCAATGCGAGGATCGGCCGTTTGACTTCGGGGAGGAGGCGCGAGAATCATTTTTGGCTCTCAAAGCCGCGCTATTGTCTACGGAGGTCTTGCAGATATACGACCCGCTTTTACCTACGCGCGTCACTACGGATGCGTCTGGCTATGGCATTGGTGCAGTCCTCGAGCAACATGATGGTGTGGACTGGCACCCGGTCGAGTATTTCAGCAAGAAAGTGCCCGTCGTGCATTCCATTGACGATGCACGCAAGAAGGAGCTCCTCGCCTTCGTCCAGGCACTCAAGCGGTGGCGGCACTTCCTCCTTGGTCGAAGCCGACTTCGATGGGTAACGGACAACAATCCGTTGGTCTTTTACAAGACCCAAGACACCGTCAACAGCACCATCGCTCGATGGATGACTTTCATCGACCAGTTCCACTTCTTTCCCGATCACATTCCCGGGAAGTTGAACCGTTTTGCGGATGCTCTTTCACGACGTCCGGATCATTGTACCGCGGTCTACTCAACCTTCTAGATCGACGATGACCTGCGGAACAACTTCATCCGCGGCTACCAAGCCGACCCCGAGTTTCGCGACAAGTACGCGAATTGCTCCTCTCCTAATCCGACGCCTTCTCACTACCGGATCCATGAGGGGTACTTGCTTGTCCACACGTGAGGGAAGGACCTTCTTTGCGTACCGAGTGATCCTCACTTGCGTACACGGCTTCTTGGAGAGTTCCACGATGCTCCCGCCACCGGACACTTTGGAGTCAATCGCACGATTGGCCGACTTCGCGAGCGATTTTGGTGGTCCGGCCTTCTCGGCAACGTCACCCGCTATTGCGAGTCATGCGAAGTTTGCCGACGCTGCAAATCCCGCAACCATCGTCTGTACGGCGAGTTACGACTATTACCGGTCCCGTTGCCATGGACATTACCGGCCCGTTCCCCAAGCACAAGACCGGAGTAGATGGGATTCTCACGGTGGTCGACCGACTCACCAAGTTCGCCATGTTTTTGCTTTGTCGCTATCATGCCAAGGCACCAGAGTTGGCTGAGGTTCTCTACGCCGGTTGGATTCGAACCAAGGGTTACCCCAAGGAAATCGTCTGCGACCGCGACACTCGGTTCATGTCCGATTTTTGGTTGGCGCTCATCAAGCGATGGGGCTCATCTCTCAAGCCCAGTTCAGCTCGCCACCCTCAGACCGATGGCCAGACGGAGAGGGCGCCTTCGCACTCTCATCCGCCCCAACTAGAAGGACTGGGTTGAGCGGCTGCTGGATGTCGAGTTGGCCTACAACTCCTCTATCCACCCGGCTATCAGGATATCGCCCTTTGAGTTCGAGCACGGCTCGCCGGTCACTTCACCGTTGGACACTATTACTCCACGAACGGCCGAGAGTGACGGCCATCTTCTTTTCTTACGTCGGATGCAAGAGCTTCTCGTCAAGGCACGCGACCAGATGGCTAAGATGCAGCAACGCATGAGCCAGCAGGCCAATCGTCAACGTCTTCCTTGCCCATTCCGCGCAGGGGACCTCGTTTGGGTTTCCACAGCGGAGTTCAGCCTTGAACAAGACATCTCTCGCAAGCTCCTCCCAAAATGGATGGGGCCTTGGCCGATCGAAGCACCCGCTGGGAATGCACCCGAGGGACCTTCCTTCACGATTCAGGTGCCCGACCACTTGCCCGTCTACCCAGTCTTTCATTGCTCCAAGTTGGCTCTTTACACGCCAGCGGAACATGATGATTTTCCTGGGAGACATTCGCAAGACCCACCTTCCATGGACGGTTTTCAGGAGGTCGGCGACATTATCTCCCAGCGACGATACGGCAACAGGCCAACCGAGTATTTGGTGCATTTTGCATACTGCACACACCGAGCTGACCGTTGGTTGACCCGTGCAGAACTTCAAGCAACAGCTCCAGACGTTCTCGCATGCTACGAACGCAAGA